GTGGCATCACAGCTCACAGCAACCTCCAACTCCTGGGCTCAAGGGAGTCTCCTGCCTCTGCCTCCCAAGTAGCTGGCACTACAGGCGCCTGCCACAACACCCAGCTATTTTTTGGTTGCAGCCATCATTGTTGTTTGGCGGGCCCAGGCTGGATTCGAACCTGTCAGCTCAGGTGTATGTGGCTGGCACCTTAGCTGCTTGAGCCACAGGCGCCAAGCCATAATGGTGATTTTTCTAGCAGACAATTTATAAGTTATATATCTATTCCAAATTCCTAGCCTCAAGCAATCTTTCTGCCTTGGCCTCCCAAAGTTCTGGAATTACAGGTGTGAGCCATCATGCCTGGATTATCAATCAGACACCAAGTCTTGCCCTGTCACCCAGGCTAGAGTACAGTAGCAGCACAGCTCAAGACAATCTCAAACTCCTGAGCTCAAGTGATCCTCCTGCTTCAGCTTCTCAAGTAGCTGGGACTACAAGTGCTCCCACCATGCTTGGCTACTTTTTAAATTTTTTGTAGAGATAGGGGCTCACTATGTTGCCCAGGCTGGTTTCAAACGCCTGAGCTCATGTAATCCTCCTTCCTCAGTCTCTCACAGTGCTAGGATTACAGGCATGAGACACCATGCCTGGTTCCCATCGGTCTTTAAATAGCTAAACCCTCTGACCCTGAAACTCTTCTAGGAATTGATCCTGAATAACAGAGGAATACGGAAGACTTTCACAATTATAAATAAGCTACAATGTAAGTATAATGATAACAATTATAATAAATGTAAAATCAGACTAAGAAACAGCTCAATGGGCTGGGCGCGGTGGCAAAGTGTGTCATCCTCCCTAGCACTCTGGGAGCCAAGGCGGAGCAACTGCCTGAGCTCAAGAGTTCAAGACCAGCCTGAGCCAGAATCAAGATCCTGTCTCTAATAGCCGGGCATTGTGGCGGGTGCCTATAGTCCCAGCTACAGGAGGCTGAGGCAAGGGGATCACTTGAGCCCAAGAGTTTGAGGTTGTTGTGGCATCACACTACTGTAACCAGGGCAACGTAGTGAGACTCTGTCTTAAATAAATAAATAAATAAATAAAAATAAAAACTCTGCATACATTACAATCCCAATTTGTTAAAGAAAAAATTCATAGCAACAGGACTGAGAGTGATTTTGCTTTTATTTTCTTTTTTTTTTTTTTT